TTTAGAACCTGATTCACGTATTCTGTCTCAAGACACCCTGCTGAACTCTCTCTGTCATCAAACACACACCATCTGCCCCATCTGTGTGTGTGTGTGTGTGTGTCTGTAAACTACAACACACACACTTTCCCTTCAGATGACAAACACTCCATATTTAACAGTCTCTCGGTGTCTCAGATGTAAAATGCTGATGCAGAAATACATGAATTTTCACTACAGGACCTGAATGAAAGCAGTTTATCATGTAATGTATCAGTGTGACTCTGATGTGGTTTAAACCTGAGAAACACACAGAAAGGTCAACACTTGTGAAAAACAGAAAGCAGGTAAAATTGTGTGTGCGTGAGTGTGTATTTGAGTGTGTGTGTGTGTGTGTGTGTGATGCGCAGTCAGTCTTCAGTGCTGTGACACTGATGTAGTTTTACTCTGTGCTCCAGAACAGGAAGTTAATCACCCGTGACCACGCCCTTTCACTCCACTCATTAGCACTGACAGCTGAACCATCCTTTACACACACACACACACACACACACAGGAAGCACTGCTTGATCTGAAAGCTCTCGATCAGTCAGCGCCCTCTGCAGGACATCAGGAGAACTGTATGTGTGTGTGTGTGTGTGTGTGTGTGTGTTTCAGTACATTACGGCCCCTATGCAAGGATCGTTCATCCATCAGTTGACGCCGGTCCCTCGGTCAGCACTTCCAGTAGAGGTAAATCACACACCTGTCCTGAGCGATGTGTGTTAAATATAGAGCTCCAGCTTAATATCCAGACCCATACGAGTCGAGGGAAATATCGGATTGGGAATTTATGAATAAAAATTGCAGGTTTGGTGTGCTTGTTCATAGGGCTGCACTTTTTAGCGCAAAATCAATATGACTATAATAATTATTAATATTATTATTAATGTTGTTTTTTGTTGTTATTAACTAAATAAAATAAGAAATATCACTATTGTAATATTCCACTGTCAAATATATTAAAATATATATATAATATATAACATTTTCTACAGTACAATTTAAAAATTGTTTGTAGAGCTGCATTATTTGTCCCAAAATTTCATGATTATACATTAATATGACAATTTTTGTATATTTTATTAAATGAGAATATAAAACAAAATAAGGAAGATTAAAGCAAAATAATATAATTGTTATATTATTTTACGGTGCAACTATATGCACTAAACGTGTCATTATATTTCAATATCAATATAAAAATAATTATTACCAAATACAAATATTAAACAAAGTATTGCTATTTTTATATTTCTTAAATAGTGTTTAAGCAAGATAATCTAATCGTTAATAATAATTTTATTGTACTGAACTGTAGAATTGTTTGTAGGGCGGCACTATTTGGCCCAAAAGTTTGTCATTATACATCAATGTCAATTCAATATGAATTAGTCTTATTGAAACTGGATCACGAGCTGCTCACGTGTAAATGAACACAGAATACTTCGCTCTGAAACACGCAGCGCATATCTTTATTGAATTAAATCGCAGCCTTTACGATTTGAATATTGCACTAAGCCGTATCGCAATTCTGGGTTTATTATACCGATTAACCGTGCAAACCCTACTAAATACCTGAACCTCCCGTGCATGTCCTGAATGATGATGTCACTTCCTGTTCTCAGGGTGTATTAACAGAAGCTCCTCCACAGACGCCGGCTCCCTCGTCACATGACGTCCACGTAACACAGCAACAGATCACCGTGGAAACCAGTGACCTTATTCAACCCTGCTCCTACCAGTCCAAGTGCGCACTTCGTCATGTGCACTGCACACTACATACTTCACATCAACACTACAGTCCACTTAGCAAACATAGACAACGCCCACAGGAACACTACACAACCATACACACTACACACTTACAACCGGATGACCTCACAGGCCTTTTATCCGGTGTATTAGGCAAAACTAAACTCTTAGTAGATATTAACATTAATTTTATAGTTGAATGTTTATTGCTTTTCTGTAATGATCAAACTAGAGGTTGTTAATGTTTGTTAATGCATCATGGAATGCATTGGGAATCATTAATCTAGAATATACTGTAAAATTAAGAAAATATTCTGACTTTAAACGTAAAATCTGTCAGTATTAGTTGAAATTAACATTATATTTTAATTAGGGCTGTGCAAAAATTAATTGCGATTAATCGCATCCAAAATAAAAGTCTGTGTTTAGATGATATATTTGTGTGTGCTGTATATAATTATTTTGTATATATAAATACCTATGCATGCATGTATATATTTAAGAATTATTTGCGCTTAAATTCTATATATATATATATAATACATAATATCTATATTATATAATATACATATTTTATATATGAAATATACACATTTTCTTAATTATACATGCATGTGTGTGTATATATATACAAAATAATTATATACAGCACACACAAATATATTATCTAAACACAGACTTTTATTTTGATGCGATTAATCGCAATTAATTTTTGCACAGCCCTAATTTTAATATTTATTCAATATTTTGAATTATCAAAACTTAAATACAATTGGTTAATGCATCATTTCATGCATTGGAAATCGTTCATCTACATTTAAAATAATTTAATATACAAACTTGAAATCTGTTAGTATATGTAGAAATTAACATTAATATTATATATGAATAAATTAAATGTAATGTTATATATTAATTCATTAATTTAATGCACCTTACAACCCTTTTAAAAATTTTGAATGGTCAAATCTAAACCAAGAAATATTAGTTTTATGCAATGGGAATCATTATATGATGATGTATTAAAATACACATACAAAAATCACAGTAATAAATCTATTTAAGTCTGATAATTTAAATAAATGCTGTAATGTTTTGTAATTTATCAATATAAATGTTGTACTTTAACATTAAAACCTGTTCATGATACCTAATGCGTGAAGTAACGTTAACGAGCATTAGTGTAAAGTGTTTAAATTAGTTTATCTTCAAGCGCTGTCGTCCGTCTGCTGTGTTGTTCTGACAATTCTTGTATGTTGTTCTTGTATGTTCTTATTGGGTTGTAATAGATGCATTGTGGATGTGTTGTGTGTCTGTGCTGTCAGATAGCGTCGTGAAGAGCTGATGTACGCCAGCGTTTCCTTCTGATGGAGAATCAGCCGCTCCGCACTCGTGATGACCTCCAGGTGAACGAGCATCACAAACACACACTCCTCTCATTCCCCACGGGACTAAAGCACTGGAGGACTCGCGGGGCGTGACGAGTATTTCAGGATTCCTCCTTTTCTGTTTGTTTTTATGTCTGACGGACTGAAGCTTCTTTCCTAAATATGAAAATAATGTGTAGATATATGATGTAGAATTATATGAAGAAGAACAAGGACCGTTTTCCTCGGATATTAAGTTTGCACATCATCAAATTGTTGATTTTCTTCTGTCAAATGTAGGAATTTACAAAAACATCACTTGCCTTGATTTAAATACCTCTTAAGTGACTTGTATATTGTGTCAAATCTGGTGTTGTGTGTAAAACATGGTGGAACTGAATCCTGATATCACATTTTCTTCATTTGAAGAAAAATGAGGTCATTATAATTTTCCTGAATGGATTGCATTTTTACTTACATTATTTTTCACAAAGAGGAAAAAAAAGTACAGCAGTTTGCTGCAATTTCCGAACATGCTTTTTTAAATTTAATTTTATACATTTTTGATCATTTTAAACTTTTAATGTTTTAGCCTGCTTTGCCTGATGCATTTCAAATAATTCTTAGAAAAAATTATGAAAAACTTTTGCAGGTTGTGTGGCGTTGATAGTTGAACTCAACCAGTCTAAAGCAATAGAAGAAATAGTGGCTGTAGATTTGTGTAGTTGTGAAAAACAGCAGTCGTTTCTAAACCAAAGATGAAGAAACTTTGGCTCTGAATATGTTAATGATGATGATGTTTCTAGAGCTGCTATTGTTGTTTTTTCTTATTTGAATATTTTCATTGTGGTAACCCAAATGATTATAATTGTTTTATATAATTAATGTAGAATCTTGCACTGCAGTAAATGAGGCATATCTGATCAGACAGTGTTTGTGTTGTTCTTCTTAACCCGTTCATTAACCCTGTAGAGACCTGCTCATTAACCCTGGATAAACTCGTTCATTAACCCTGGAGAAACCCGACCGTTAACCCTGGAGAAACCCGACCGTTAACCCTGGAGAAACCCGACCGTTAACCCTGGAGAAACCCGACCGTTAACCCTGGAGAAACCGGCTCATTAACCCTGGAGAAACCGGCTCATTAACCCTGGAGAAACCCGACCGTTAACCCTGGAGAAACCCGACCGTCAACCCTGGAGAAACCCGACCGTCAACCCTGGAGAAACCCGACCGTTAACCCTGGAGAAACCCGACCGTTAACCCTGGAGAAACCCGACCGTTAACCCTGGAGAAACCCGACCGTTAACCCTGGAGAAACCCGACCGTTAACCCTGGAGAAACCGGCTCATTAACCCTGGAGAAACCGGCTCATTAACCCTGGAGAAACCCGTTCATTAACCCTGGAGAAACCCGCTCATTAACCCTGGAGAAACCCGACCGTTAACCCTGGAGAAACCCGACCGTTAACCCTGGAGAAACCCGACCGTTAACCCTGGAGAAACCGGCTCATTAACCCTGGAGAAACCGGCTCATTAACCCTGGAGAAACCCGACCGTTAACCCTGGAGAAACCGGCTCATTAACCCTGGAGAAACCCGACCGTTAACCCTGGAGAAACCCGACCGTTAACCCTGGAGAAACCAGCCCATTAACCCTGGAGAAACCCGACCGTTAACCCTGGAGAAACCCGATCGTTAACCCTGGAGAAACCCGACCGTTAACCCTGGAGAAACCGGCCCATTAACCCTGGAGAAACCCGATCGTTAACCCTGGAGAAACCCGATCCAAAACACAAGTCAAACAAGAACACGTCTGACATCCATTACATCCAGACAGGACTTTATTTGATTTGTAGAGCTCTTTCACAACACACACACACACTCAAAGCCAGCTAAACTAAAGACGTAGGTCTGAAATAATGAAGCAACAGATGCAGATCTGAAAGTGAAGTTTGTGAGAAAACAGCAGATTTAAGTCCTTCAAAAGTCTAGACATGTTTTACCCGACCCTGGAGAAACCCGACCGTTAACCCTGGAGAAACCGGCCCATTAACCCTGGAGAAACCCGATCGGTAACCCTGGAGAAACCCGACCGTTAACCCTGGAGAAACCCGATCGTTAACCCTGGAGAAACCCGACCGTTAACCCTGGAGAAACTGGCTCATTAACCCTGGAGAAACCCGATCGTTAACCCTGGAGAAACCCGACCGTTAACCCTGGAGAAACCCGACCGTTAACCCTGGAGAAACCCGACCGTTAACCCTGGAGAAACCGGCCCATTAACCCTGGAGAAACTCGACCGTTAACCCTGGAGAAACCCAATCATTAACCCTGGAGAAACCCGACCGTTAACCCTGGAGAAACCCGACCGTTAACCCTGGAGAAACTCGACCGTTAACCCTGGAGAAACCGCCCATTAACCCTGGAGAAACCCGATCATTAACCCTGGAGAAACCCAATCATTAACCCTGGAGAAACCCGACCGTTAACCCTGGAGAAACCCGACCGTTAACCCTGGAGAAACTCGACCGTTAACCCTGGAGAAACCCGACCGTTAACCCTGGAGAAACCGGCCCATTAACCCTGGAGAAACTCGACCGTTAACCCTGGAGAAACCGGCCCATTAACCCTGGAGAAACCCGACCGTTAACCCTGGAGAAACCCGACCGTCAACCTGGAGAAACCGCCCATTAACCCTGGAGAAACTCGACCGTTAACCCTGGAGAAACCGGCCCATTAACCCTGGAGAAACCGGCCCATTAACCCTGGAGAAACCCGACCGTTAACCCTGGAGAAACCCGACCGTTAACCCTGGAGAAACCGGCCCATTAACCCTGGAGAAACCCGACCGTCAACCCTGGAGAAACCGGCCCATTAACCCTGGAGAAACCCGACCGTCAACCCTGGAGAAACCGGCCCATTAACCCTGGAGAAACCCGACCGTTAACCCTGGAGAAACCCGACCGTTAACCCTGGAGAAACCCGACCGTTAACCCTGGAGAAACCCGACCGTTAACCCTGGAGAAACCCGACCGTTAACCCTGGAGAAACCCGACCGTTAACCCTGGAGAAACCCGACCGTTAACCCTGGAGAAACCGGCTCGTTAACCCTGGAGAAACCCGACCGTTAACCCTGGAGAAACCGGCCCATTAACCCTGGAGAAACCCGATCATTAACCCTGGAGAAACCCGACCGTTAACCCTGGAGAAACCCGACCGTTAACCCTGGAGAAACCCGACCGTTAACCCTGGAGAAACCCGACCGTCAACCCTGGAGAAACCGGCCCATTAACCCTGGAGAAACCCGACCGTCAACCCTGGAGAAACCGGCCCATTAACCCTGGAGAAACCCGACCGTTAACCCTGGAGAAACCCGACCGTTAACCCTGGAGAAACCCGACCGTTAACCCTGGAGAAACCCGACCGTTAACCCTGGAGAAACCCGACCGTTAACCCTGGAGAAACCCGACCGTTAACCCTGGAGAAACCCGACCGTTAACCCTGGAGAAACCCGACCGTTAACCCTGGAGAAACCCGACCGTTAACCCTGGAGAAACCGGCTCGTTAACCCTGGAGAAACACTTTTGCGTCACCATCTGCATGCGGATTTCCCACACAAAACGCTCGTCTAAACGCAGAATAAAAAGTGATGACGCAATGCCACTTTTGCGTTTTCTCTTCAGAGTCGTTTCCGTGTAAACAGCCTGAGACAGAGTGAACTTTGAGTTTAAAAGCTATCAAGTGTGATTTATTAAGAGCATATTGCAATATATAAACTCATATGATAAAGTCAGTATAAAACGTTTTAAAATGTCTCAGAAATAGAGTAAAACATGTCTAGACTTTTGAAGGACTTAAATCTGCTGTTTTCTCACAAACTTCACTTTCAGATCTGCATCTGTTGCTTCATTATTTCAGACCTACGTCTTTAGTTTAGCTGGCTTTGAGTGTGTGTGTGTGTGTGTGTGTGTGTGTGTGTGTGTTGTGAAAGAGCTCTACAAATCAAATAAAGTCCTGTCTGGATGTAATGGATGTCAGACGTGTTCTTGTTTGACTTGTGTTTTGGATCACAGACGGTTCTGATGTGTGTGTGTGTGTGTGTGTGTGTGTGTGTTGTGTAACTCGTATGATGACAGATGTGAATAATAGATCGCTGGAATGCGTGTTAAATGATTTGATTGAGTACGTTTGTGTGTGTTTCGATTCTGTCTCCTTTCAGTTCATTTGGATCTTCAGATACACAGAAATGAGACTGTAAGAACCACTAAAACTATAATCAGAGAAACTATTTATTTTTTACTTGAAACAAACTAAAATGTTTTTAGAAATTGAGCTTATTTTATTTCAGCTGCCAAAGCCACATTTCTATTTTCATTTAGATTAAACATGAAAGTATTACACAATCATTTAAAACATTGTCCTTATATTGAACCTCTTTGGCATAAAGCCTTCTTTATGATTGAGCCGAGAACTCAAATGTTTTCTAAGTGTGTGTGTGTGTGTGTGTGTTTCAGCAGCGAGTGGATCAGAACCGGATCTGTTTTCTGATGAAGCTGCTGATTTGAGGCCGATTCAGTGTCAATAATGATGAGGTGATCTGTTCAGTCGTGTGTGTGTGTGTGTGTGTGTGTGTGTGTGTGTGTGTGTGTGTGTGTGTTCATAAGATGTACAGCTGTTTATGGGAAATGATAACTGCTCAGTTTTCCGTAAAACATCTGGTTTTAGATGATCTGATATCGAAACTGAACGTGTGTGTGTGTGTGTGTGTCCTCACACTAGTTGCGTAACGTTTCTGTAATGCTTCTCGTCACTTGTTTTTTCTCAGATGCTAAATCATGATTTCTGCCTGAATGATGATCATCTACTGTGGATCTACAGCTAATCTGATCTAAAGCGGAGTGTGTGTGTGTGTGTGTGTGTGTGTGTGTACTTCAGACGTGAGTGAGGGTGTGTTGATCATATAGTGATCGTGTTCCCCTGGATCAGAGAGAGAGCTGGAGAATCATGGGTAATCTGTCACACACACACACACACACTCGCTGTCTCTCCAGGAGATCGGATGAACTCTCAGAGACTCTGTAGATGAATAATAATCATCCACTTCACATCAACCATGAGATTTCACTGTAAAAAATATTTTCAAGATTTGTTATCACAACATATTTTCTTTTGTCAAATCAACTTTATAATAATTTATTTAGTTGAGATAACTTATTATTTTGAGTTTCTGATGGTTAAATTAATCTACTTCATTGTATTAACTCACTTTTTCCAGTTCAAATCAACCTAAAATTTTAAGGCAACCCAGGTTACTTACTTTTTTAAGTTAAACCAACAATATTTTTTTTACAGTGTGAGTGTCAATGATTGAGTGCCTCTAATACACACACACACACACACACGAAGAGATTGAACATCCTATTCTTCGTCAGAGTCTTGGTCTTGTTTTTCAGTTAAATATAATTACAGACGGCATGATATTTAAGACTTGTTTTTACAGATTGTCTTTAATATTAGTGTATTTTATGTTTTTGCACAATAACACAATGCACAATAACCTGGTTCATATATTTGAGAAATAAATCTAACTTGTTTCAATCTTTTTAAAAACAATTTAACTGAATATTGTCATATTTTACGGAGGCGTATTACGGAGGCGTATTGCATTCACTTGAAGAAAAAAAATCTACTCTGTTTTTGTGAATTAACGAGTTAATTTTTCATGAGAAAAAGTTTTTGCTCTGTTTTTCTGAATGAATGAGTTAATTTTTCATGAGAAAAAAAGTTTGCTCTGTTTTTCTGAATTAATGAGTTAATTTATCATGAGAAAAAAAGTTTGCTCTGTTTTTCTGAATTAATGAGTTAATTTTTCATGAGAAAAAAAGTTTGCTCTGTTTTTCTGAATTAATGAGTTAATTTTTCATGAGAAAAAAAGTTTGCTCTGTTTTTCTGAATGAATGAGTTAATTTTTCATGAGAAAAAAAGTTTGCTCTGTTTTTCTGAATTAATGAGTTAATTTTTCATGAGAAAAAAAGTTTTGCTCTGTTTTTCTGAATTAACGAGTTAATTTTTCATGAGAAAAAATTTTTTTGGTCTGTTTTTCTGAATTAATGAGTTAATTTTTCATGAGAAAAAAAGTTTTTGCTCTGTTTTTCTGAATTAACGAGTTAATTTTTCATGAGAAAAAGTTTTTTTACTCCGTTTTTCTGAATTAATGAGTTAATTTTTCATGAGAAAAAGTTTTTTTGCTCCGTTTTTCTGAATTAATGAGTTAATTTTTCATGAGAAAAAAAGTTTTTGCTCTGTTTTTCTGAATTAACGAGTTAATTTAGAAAAACAGAGCAAAAAAAAAAATTCCATGAAAAATTAACTCATTAATTCAGAAAAACTGAGCAAAATATTTTTTTCTCATGAAAAATAAACTCGTTAATTCAGAAAAACAGAGTAGATTTTTTTCTTCAAGTGAATGCAATACGCCTCTAAGCTCTAAGCAATTTGAATAAATGCATTTTGAAAATATGGTTATTTAAATAAAATCAAATAGATTTGTTATTTTTATTTCGTGGGAGCGTAAATCTGACTCCTTTTATTTCATTTCATTTATGCTCAAAATAAACTGAATTCAAAGGGAATTTTCGTGTCATTTTGCATCTTAAGTAAATGTTTCTTGATTTCAGAATATTGAGACGTGCCGTCAGTGTTTGGATGATGTTCCTGATGACTGCCGATCGCTGTTCCTGGAACTGTGCAAGGCTTGCGACACACACAGACGGAGCCGTCCCGGAGCCGGAGATCTCGTCTAGACGCCGTCTCTCCCCTCTGACTGGAACTGAAGCTCGGTGTGTGTGTGTGTGTGTCTGCATCTGCTCCTCATGGTCTGAGTCTGCACCGCTGGAACTGTGAACATCAGCGAATCCAACATGATCAAACACAGATGGGTTCTTCACAGTCCTCACAAACACAAATATTTCAATGCAATGATCATAGATTTGAACAGTTGTGTGTATAATATTCCCAAAACAAAACCTAAAGAAATCTGAGAACTTTCCTTCTCTGACGTCTGAAACATGCCGACTCAGTGAATCACACATAAACTGAAAAACTGTGTGTGTTTATGTGATTTTGCATATTAAACCCAGGATAAATGTTTTATGTGTGTATTCAGTCAATCCTGTAAACACACAGTAAATCTGTCAGTGTTTTACAGTAAGACAGTGACAGATTTCGGGGTGAAATAAATAACATCTTTGTGATATTCACATCTTCCTCCAGTTACTGATGAAGAACATCCGAGAAACTCCAGTAGAATATCATAAACTATATTAAACATGTTTCATGACACACACACACTCGCTCACGTCACATGACCAGACATGTGAAGCTCTCTAACTGCAGTCTGCTAGCGGCTCGAGTGTGTGTGTGTGTGTGCTTCACTGTAGGCGGTGTGCAAGGTTTCGAGATGTTAGAGAAGTGTGTGTAGGTGTACACTCACTGTGAGACACACACGTGCTCAGAAACACACTCAACCGGCAGATTTTAAGACTATGGAAACTAAAAGTGTCGTCTATGTACAGTACTACAGTAACTCGCTGTGTTTTGGGACTGTGACCCCCAAAATGTTGTCTATATAGGTTTTGAGATGCTCAGAAAGGCTGTCTATAACTCAGTTTTGGTGATGAATGTAGGCAGCTCAAATTATTTCCAGACTTTGATGTCAGAAATGCTGTTATTTTAAGCATACTAGGTTTTGGGATCGATGCATAAAATGCTGTCTATATAGGCAACTAGGTTTTAAGACTGTCTAAAAATGCTGTCAGGCCCAGAAATATTGTTTATGAAGGAAACTCAATTGGTTTTATAACTATGATGCCTAAAAATGTGTTATATGTAGGCAGCTCACACTATGATGCCCAGACATGCTGTCTATGTAGGGTGCTTACCAGCTTTCGAGATGCCCACATCTGTTGTCTAGTAGTTAGTGAGCCCTGAGGCTGAGCAGTGTGTGTGTTTGTGTGTGTGTACACAGGCAGTAGTTAGCAGTTTTGAGAGAGTAAAGCAGGAAAAGCGACGCTTCCTCCTCTTGAACATTTCCTGCCTCGGTGTGACTCACGCGCGCTTCCTCTCAGATGAGAACGAGACGCGCGCGCCCGCGCCGGTATAAGAGCGCCGGTCTGGACTCGAGTCACACACGCGACGCGACGCGTTGAGCTGTGATGGAGCGGTTCGGTTCTGTCGGCTGTGGCTCGGTTCTTCTCGCGTGTCTGATGATGTCTGGTGAGTGAAATCCCGCTTCAGTCTCGATACTACAGCGCGACGCGAGAGCGTCGCGTCAAACGCGGTGTTTAGGGTGTAAATAGATTGATTATAAGTTTCTCTTTCAAAACACGAGTCTGATTGACATTTCCTCATGTTTGTGTGTGTGTGTGTATGAGACTTAGCTTACTACTCAAATTGTGTTCCTGTTTTATTAGTTCTTTCTGTTTTTCTTTATACTTTGACATTTATAATTATTCTAAATTCACATGTAAATCATTTAATGTTTTGTGAGTGAGTTGTTACTACAGTAAAACTACTTTGAGTTTAAAAACTGCACACTTAAACTAGTACATGGAAGGACCATGGTAGCCTAGTGTAAAGGTGTCTGATTTTATAGGTTATTAGTATAGTTAACTAAAACCATTTACGTTTCATAACTTGAAATAATATTTTAATATAATAAATGTTAACTAAAAATTAAATATATTTTATTTCAGGTAGTTGCCAGAGACATCTTTTCTCACTTTTACATTAAGTTGAACTTCATATACTAATATAACTAAAACTGAAATAATAATTAATATAAACTATGTAGTCATAAAATGACAAAAACATATAACAATATTACTAAAACTTTAAGATTTACATATTTTTTTTTTAAATATAGGCTACAAATGAAAACTAATTCGAAATCTGAATTGTTATTATATCAATTACTGATATATTACTGGTATGCAACATACTACTGAACGTTTATCATATTTGATAACCATGATGTTACATTAGAGAATTGTATTAATAATATTAGACTATAGTACATGGATATTAACATGTATTGACCTTTATGAAAGGAGCAGTTGCCACAACAGCAACGACTATAATATAGTGTATTATAAAATGTAAATATAAGGAACAAAATATAAGTCCTTATCCATTTAATGCACCTTGAGCTTGTTTGTTTATATTTACATTAAGTGTTTCATACTGTTCCTGAGCTTTGCTGTGTGTGTGTGTGTGTGTGTGTGTGTGTGTGACAGCATAAACCTGCTGTTGTGTTTGAGAGATCCTGACGACACAAACATCGCTTCCTAAAGCTCAGTGTGTGTTTCTCGTGTGTTTGTGTTCTGGCAGACAGTCGCTGAATGTGGAGACGGTTACATCACAAACTCGAGATGATCAAACTCAAACTATAAATTAAAGCATGTGTTTGGAGTCAAACTAACGTCACTCTTCTTCATGTTGCCCCTCAATCAACTGGTGTGTGTGTGTGTGTGTGTGCTTGGGTGACCTCTAGATCTTTAGAGACATTAACTCTTAACATCATCAACAAACGCAGCATCGCTGACATGCATGTGCTTTCTATGTTAATATGTGTGTGTTTGTGAGAGAGAGAGTGTGTGTGTGTGTGTGTGTTTACATTAGTGGTGGGTTGCATAAACTGCTTAGATGACTCTTTCAAGTGACTCATTTAGTTTTTGTTCTGGACTGCTCTTAACAGTTTTTAGTCGGTTACATAAAAATTAGGGCTGTGCAAAAGTTAATTGCGATTAATCGCATCCAAAATAAAAGTCTGTGTTTACATAGTATATTTGTGTGTGCTGCATATAATTATTTTGTATATATAAATACACACACATGCATGAATATATTTAAGAAAATGTGTTCTTCCTATATAAAATATTTATATAATATAGATTATGTATTTATATATATATACAGAATTTAAGCGCAAATAATTCTTAAATATATACATGCATGCATGGGTATTTATATATACAAAATAATTATATACAGCACACACTCAAATATATTATGTAAAACAGACTTTTATTTTGGATGCGATTAATCGCAATTAACTTTTGCACGGCCCTAATAAAAATATTATGTATTATTTGTATTATTATTATTATTATTATTTGTCTGAATCAATCAATTAGTTTTAATCTGAAGAGAGCCGTAACTAATTGCTAGTTGGTCAGACACAGTCTTATCTGACCCCTGATATGTGTGTGTGTGTGTGTGTGTTTTACAGGTACATCCGCCATGCTCCCTTCAACCAATCAGCACAGTCGGTGTAAGTCATGTGACCCTCAGCCGGCCGCCTGCAGGGCCAATGAGTGCATCTCAAACTGTAGCGTATCGAGAGTCTGCCCGAATCCACAGGACGTCTGCGCCGCCGTCTGGTATGACACACACACACACATGTGAATCACCGACGTGTTCGAACACGACCTCATCTCATCACACCACAGATCAAAGCTTAGAGAAATAAACACGTCCCACGTCAAACCCTTTTCAATCTTTCTTAAAGGGCCAGTGTGTCATATTTAGGAGGATCTGTTGACAGAAATGCAACTCTAATTACCTTAGAATGAGCATTTCTGTCTACACACACCGCGGGTCCGCTTACATCCACATGTTTCTACGGTGGCCCTGAATGGACAATAACATAATTTTACTGAATAATTAGGTAAACATAATTTCTTTATTAATCTTTGTAAAGAAAGCTCTTAACTGGCTACTCTCTACGACATCACTTCCCGTCGGCCACTGTTGGGTGCAATTCGCATCCTCACCACTAGATGCCGCTAAAAATTACACACTGCACCTTTAAAGGGATTGGGCATTAAAAAAATGACGTTTTTTGCAGATTCGTAAAGTTCTCTAGGATTCTTCAGATCTTTAAAGATGCATTTTAATTTATTTTTGATCATGTATGCCTGTACACTGCTGCATTATGGGAGTTGTAGTTTGGTTTGTAGTGATTACAGGAAGAGATCGCGACTGGTTTAGCTGTCCAGCGACCCGACACACAGGTGTATATCAGCAGGCCTACTGACACACACACACACACATTAGTGTAGTAAATACTGTGCATTACTGTGAGGTGACTTCTAAAGAATGACACACATCAGTGTTGTTTAAGGATTGACATATTATTATAGATTTCATTATTTTATATTAATATTTAAATTTTTTATTTAATTATTATGTATTTTGAGTTTAAATTTTTATATTTTCTATTTAAATTGCATTTTGTTTTATAGATTTTGTGTTTATATTGTTTTGTTTTTTGTTGTGTGGAGTTTTTGTAAATGCGTCTATATAGTTTATTCCTTTTTATTTTATTTTAGAACATCAAGTTAAAACTTAGAAATGTTTTAAATTGAAAGCTTTTATATTTTATATTAATTCTGTTCATGTTTATTTCAAGTAAAGAAAATTAAAATAATTCTTATGGATTTAGTTAATATAATTATATATATAATTTACAGTTAAAATAGTTTATTTGTAACACTATATATGAAGGGTGGAGCACTTTGCATTCTGGGATGCCGTATCACACACCGTGAGTGTGAGTGTGGTAAAGATGCGTTATCCTGACCTCTGTCGTGCAGGTGGAGGAAAGCTGGGATGGTTACCGTGGAGACGATGTGTCACGACCCCACGCGAGCGCTGCGCGGTGTGATGTTGCAGGATTACAACGGATCTGTGTGTGTGTTGAGCATCAGACAATCCTTGCGTGTGTGTGCCTGTACGGGACACGAGTGTAACGAGCGCCTGCTGCTGAACACACACACTGAGGGGGAGGACAAGATAGAGACATGTGAGTGTGTGTGTGTGTGTGTGTGTGTGTGTGAGAGAGAGAGAGATGGTAGGTTTAGGGGTCGGGTTAGTGTGTGTGTGTGTGTGTGTCAGAGATGGTTAGGTTTAGGGGTCAGGTTAGTGTTTGTGTGTGTGTGTGTGTGTGTGTGGTCTCTTATGCAAAAATATGCTATATCATCAGCACTGAATAGATATGTATTTTTGTGCCTGTAGGCATTTCATCTCTCTCTCTCTCTCTCTCTCTGTGTGTGTGTGTGTGTTTTGCAGCGAGTGCATCAGTAATTAAAGTGTTCAAGGTCCCTCAGCTCTGTAAGTTCTGCGACATCGAATTCACGACGTGTAACGCCACCGGCGTCTGCGAATCCTTCTGCAAAGTCACATCGATCTGCGAGAATCCCGAGGAAGTGTGTGTCAGTTCCTGGTAGGTCAGCGCTACTCTAGTGTACACACACTTCGAGATCCATCCGCTTCAGATCTCTTCTCGATCTCTAGCGGAGACACACGCGAGATCACTGTGAGCAAATCAAAGCCATAAATCTGAACAAATCTGAGCTTGATATCTAAAAATAGATTAGGTATTTATATTAGATAATACCAACATATATTACTAGGGCTGGGTAATAAATATCGATTACTCGATAATAATCGATTCTCATTTTTACGAACCGATATCGATTCTTAAATCTCAAGAATCGATTAGTCATCCTGTGGGACATTGTTTTGCGGCTGCGCGCATCCAAAAAATGGCAATAATCTTTGTCCTTTGTTACTATTGATATGAAACAAAGTCTCAATTTTCAAATTACGTCCATTTTCTTTAGAAATTCAAAAACATAAATAGCGTTTTGTCGCTGTGGCGTGAGATCGCTCTGGAGAAGCAGCAGCGCTGATCTCTCTTCCGGCTTAATAATACCAGTCACAGCGCCAAATAAACATGAATGAGCATCTGAAAGTGTGTTAAAGTGTGGAAAGACGTCAGTTAAACAGCTTGTAATCAATGTCATCGTCATATTTACTCAGAAAACCCACATAAACTCGTTAGTCAGCTAGAAAAAATAACTCTAAATATATACACCATATTACATATGCATTATAATCTTAATGTTCTTCAATATTTAATGCATATTTGAATAAATCTGGCAAGTTTTTATGACAGCCACCATTTAAATGTTTATATTTCATATAATCTTCTTATTATAAAATAAATAAAAGTGTAATTTAAGTGTTTGTATAGCTACAAAACAGTTCATTATTACCTTCATATTAGGCTAATGAAGCCTATAGGCTACAACTAGACTCCCATAGTTTACAGCATTAGTTCAGAGATTTGATTCCCTTGAGAAAAATGGCCATTTATTGTAACTGATATCCAAAATAATCGATATTGAATCGAATCGTAATCGAAATCGAATCGAATTGTGAAATTTGTCTCAATACCCAGCCCTATATATTAAGTATTTTTATGCTTTAGTAGAGTGAAACGTTACATACAGCAGCTTTACTGTAATGTCGTGATGTTTCAGGAGGAGAGAGGAAGGGAACGCCACCATCGAGACGGTGTGTCACCACCCAGCGCTGAGGTTTCGTGGCCAGTTCCTGAAGGACTTCAACAGCAAAACCTGCGAGATGAAGCGAGTGAAGGGGGCGGAGGACGAGTTCATCTGCTCCTGTAACGAGGAAGAGTGTAACGGCCGCCTCATCTTTCCTGACGGTCAGTTTCACACACTCTCACACACTCTTGAGTCCAGTCAGCTTTATTTATACAGCGCTTTTCACAAAAATCTACTCTGTTTTTCTGAATTAACGAGTTAATTTTTCATGAAAAAAAAAATTTTCCTCTGTTTTTCTGAATTAATGAGTTAATTTTTCATGAGAAAAAAAATTGCTCTGTTTTTCTGAATTAATGAGTTAATTTTTCATGAGAAAATTTATTTTTGCTGTTTTTCTGAATTAATGAGTTAATTCAGAAAAACAGAACAAAAAAAAATTCCATTAAAAATGAACTCATTAATTCAGAAAAACAGAGCAAAAAAAAATTTTCTCATGAAAAATTAACTCGTTTATTCAGAAAAACAGAGCAAATTTTTTTTTCTCATGAAAAATTAACTCATTAATTCAGAAAAACAGAGTAGATTTTTTTTCTTCAAGTGAATGCAATACGCCTCCGTATGTTTCAGAGCAGCTTACAGAGAAAACAGGAAAATACTGCAACAAAGTTTGTTTCTAGAAGAAAATGGCGTCACAGTGCAGCTTAAGTACGTTCAGTGATAATTAATTTTTGTTGTAAAAGTTATATTACTTTAGTTCATTTATATATAGCGGCTCTGGAGATATCCGTGATGTCATCGTCCAGCTCAGCTCAGGTCTCATATAATGGTGTCAATGCAGCAGATCAGTAATATTGTTGAATATTAATAATAATAATTATTCATTATATTTATATAGCGCTTTTCTTGGCACTCAAAGCACTTTTACATAGAGAGGGGGAATCTCCTCAACCAACATTAAATTCATTTGAAGCATTTAAAAGATAAAAATAAATAAAAGTCACTTTTTTTTCTCTCACAGTAATTTTTATTATCGGGTACAAATTGTTGCATTTTTGTATTGCGATATATTGTGACACGGACGGTATATTGTTGCACTCTGTCAGATAATTTATTTTATTTATTTAATTTTTTATTATAGTTTATTTAGATAGGGATAGATGCACTTTGACAGTGATCTGATGTATGTATCGTCCAGCTCAGTTTAGTTCTCATTTAATGGTGTCAATCAGTAATATTGTTGAATATTAATAATAATAATAATTCATTATATTTATATAGCGCTTTTCTTGGCACTCAAAGCACTTTTACATAGAGATGGGAATCTCCTCAACCAACATTAAATTCATTTTAAGCATTTAAAAGATAAAAAAGGAAGTGATCCTTTAAGTCACTTAAACTCTGAGTCTGAAAACTTGATTTTTATTTCGGCTGATCTATCCACGATACAAATTGTCTCGACACGGTATATTGTTACACTCCTAACACAGATACAATCTGTCCGATAATAATGTTCAGACACTTTCTTGATAATCTGAAGACTCGCGCAGTTCATGTGGCGTGTGTGTGTGTGTGTGTGTGTGTGGATCCGCTGCTGCTCCAGACGTGTGGTTTCCTCCTGTCTGTGTGTAAAGATCATCTCGTTGTTTTTATAGCCGCGTGTTGTTTGTTTGTGTGTGTGTCGACGCACGTGCGGTTGTGTTGTGCTGCACTGTGTTTACTGTAACAAGGGGCTTTTTCTGAAGGAAAAGCATCGCTCAAGATTTTTTCTTTCTGCAGAAATGTCTAGATCTAGATTTAGATTGGTTAAACAGGAAGCCGCATCATGTGACTCTGAGAGGAAACTTTTGGTGCAGAAAATATCTGTGATTAAAACGCCTGTCCATCCAAAATGTGTTTTCCAGTACAGATACATTTATAAACACTTAAAGAGCCCCAATCATGGATTTTTGAAAATGACTGTTCATGTAGTGTGGACTATAGCTTTAAGGGAATGAAAACATCCTGCAAAGATTTATATCTGAAAGTGCACCATATATAAAGTTATTGTCTTTCAAAAGTGAGAGTAACATTTCAACATTAACAAAAATAGGAACATTTCAAATGCTATGATGGAGGCTGTTTAAATTAAGATACATTTGAGATGCAAAATGACATTAATATTGAGTTTGTTTTCTGACAAACTGATCAAATTGAAGTGAGTTTGTGCTTAAAACAAGAACGAACATCTGTCAATGGAGTCAGAAAATAATCTTGTTTTCCCTTTCAATTTGTTTATTTTTATCACCTGTTTCGTTTTTACTCTTTAACTTTTTTTTTTTGCTGTTTGTTTCTAATTTTGAAGAATTAAAATAGCCTACTAGCTGAGACGTGTGTGTGTACAGATGTGAAGTATTGACGTAAAGACATGCTCAGATTTACTGCTGAAATCCACTGGAATTAAAAACATTATTACAAGCTTACAGTTTTGAATGAGCTAATCCATATTTTAATGGATAAATAAAAAAAAAAAAATAAATATATATATATATATATATAGCAATGGTAAAAAATGTGTAACGGTCTAACTCCACGATTCAGTTCACAGTTCACAGTCTTTGTAATACAGTATGTTTTAGCAATACATTTCTAACATTTATAATGCGTTTAGATTAGAGCCCGACCGATAGAGGATTTTGAAGACCGATACAAATATTTTTGGGTTTTATAATCCGATATATCGGCCGATATTTTTATTTTTTATTATTAAATATTGTTGGATTTCACACACGTGTAAAAGAAAAGCTAACTTTTCTGCACAAGATACGTTTGATACTTTTTCTCTCTGTCTAAATGTTCACTCCTCGCGAGTATAACTTACATTTTACAATGCAGGGACTGTAACTAGAGATATGCGAGTTATAAATACAGTAATCATTACTTCATTTAGGGAGAAAAAGTTCATTGTGGTTTCCAAGCTCATTAATGTTAACGTTAGCGGTCTTCCACTGATGATAGTGGCATTAGCTAGCTTTGTGGTTAGCTAGTCTATGATTAGCAATAGATAACATCATACTGCAAATTGTAAAACATACATTTTCAATATAACAGGCCGAGGAGAGATGATTGAAGCGTGTTTCGTCCGTTTTTATTTTATTTTTAAAATATTAATTTATCGGCCATTATAACTGCCGATACCGATATTATGAAAAATGCCTAATATCGGCCTGGCTCTAGTTTAGAATTTTTTTTTAGAATTGCCTTTACAGGGACTTTAATGAATGAATAAAAGCAACCAATAAAATCAGTAAATCTGCTTCAATAAAATTATGATTAGTAATTGCAATGGTAAAAAATGTGTAACGGTCTAACTCCACAATTCAGCACACATTTGCAACCACTAATGACTGAACTGTACTTTTATTTGTTTTATATTTTGGTTTTAAATGTTATATTCTACATATGTATATGTACTGTGATGCTTTATGTGGTGTATATGTAATGCATGTTATTTTATTTGTCTTCCTGCCCAGGGACAGCAGATGTAAACTAGCTATTAGCTAATTCTTGTGCAATTACTTTTAATTGTGCATTGTCCCTGTAAAAATAAACAATAAAATGAAAAAAATGAAATAATTGTCGTGTTGTGTTCAGGTGCGGATCCGGTTTCTCCCAGATCGGAGGAGCCGAAGCTCCCGTTTCTGATGCTGGTCGGTCTGGTTTCCTCTGCGGTCGTGCTGGTCCTGCTGGTCTCGCTGCTCTTCGTCTACTGGGTGTATCGGCAGCACAAAGCGCCCGCGTCCAAAGGCAAAAGCGAAAGCGAAACCTGCGCCATCATCATGAACGAAGACCGCTCCGACAACAGCCTGAACCACAACTTGGAGCTTCTTCCCATCCAACTGGACTCATCCGTCGGGAAAGGCCGGTTCGCCGAGGTCTTCAGAGCCGGACTCAAGCAAGCCAGCCAATCCTTCCAAACGGTGGCCGTGAAAATATTCCCGTATGAAGAATACGCCTCGTGGAAAACCGAGTGGGAGATTTACTCCGACGCCGAGCTCCGGCACGAGAGCGTCCTGCACTTTCTGACCGCCGAGGACCGGAAAGCGTCGCGACAGTATTGGCTGATAACGGCCTATCAGGAGCGAGGAAACCTGCAGGACTTCCTGTCGCAGCACGTGATTAGCTGGGACGAGCTGTGCCGATTGGCCGGTTCGCTGGCGAGGGGCGTGGCTCATCTTCACGCCGATCGGACGCCGTGCGGACGAGCTAAAGTGGCCATCGTCCACCGAGACCTGAAGAGCGCTAACGTGCTGGTGAAGTCAGACCTCACGTGCTGTCTGTGTGACTTCGGCCTCAGTCTGAGACTCGACACCTACACGTCTCCGGAGGAACTGGCCAACAGCGGACAGGTGAGGGCCGTCACATGCGGTCAGGGGAGTTAGATGCGTCAAAATCAGTCAAAACTAATAGCCAATCAGAACAGTGAGTGGGCGGAGTCTCACGTCAGTAATCCTCACAACACTCAACACAATCAAATTCACAGAGGGGGAACATCATAAGCAACAGTCTTAGGCGGTACTTTAGGGATATAACACAAAAACAACAGTCCTTAGGCAATACAAGCTGAAGAGCTCGGCTTAAAGGAGTAGTTCACTTTTGATAAAACTTTTGCTGATAATTTACTCACCCCCATGTCATCCAAGATGTCCGTGAAAAGAAATTAAGATTTTTGATGAAAACATTCCAGGATTTTTCTCCATATAATGGACTTCAATGGGGACCAAACAGTTCAAGGTCCAAAAGACAGTTTCAGTGCAAACTACAAACTGTTCAAAGGGCTTTAAACGACTCCAGACGATGAATAAGGGTCTTATCAAGCGAAACGATCGCTCATTTAATAAATAAATAACAAAGTTTAAGTTTTATAAGCTCAAATGCTCGCCTTGCTCTGTTCTGTGACGCGCGTTCGTGACTCTCCTGTTCGAACTCGTTCATCAAAATCTTTTTTCGAGTCATGACTCGATGTGTCCTTGATAAGACCCTTTATTCATCGTCTGGAGTCGTTTAAAGCCCTTTGAACAGTTTGCAGTTTGCACTAAAACTTTCTTTTGGACCTTGAACCGTTTGGTCCCCATTGAAGTCCATTATATGGAGAAAATCCTGGAATGTTTTCATCAAAAACCTTAATTTCTTTTCGACTGAAGAAAGAAAGACATGGACATCTTGGATGACATGGGGGTGAGTAATTTAAATTATCAGCAAAAGTTTTTTTAAAAGTGAACCAATCCTTTAAATATCAGATCAGGGAGACACATCCAGGAGACTTCAGTCCACAAAACATGGAACAACAGGTTAGCGGACAGGATTAACTCAATATCAATGCTAATCAGGACTGAACCAGAGCTAGAATGAAGCCTTAAATATGTCTGATATTGAGAGTAATTCACACAAGTACAGCCGTTTCACAAACGACGAGTAATCATGGGCAGAAATGACGCCATCTAGTGGTCAAATCAAGGACCTTCAGGCAAAACATTATATTGTATGGGAATATATATATATATATATATATATATATATACACTACCGTTCAAAAGTTTTAGATCAGTAAGATTTTTTATGTTTTTAAATGAAGTCTCTTCTGCTCACCAAGGCTGTTTTATTTGATGAAAAAAATGACAAACAGTAATATTGTGAAATATTATGACAATTTAAAATGACTGTTTTCTATTTTAATATATGTTAAAATGTAATTTGAAAGCTGATTTTTCAACATCATTACTGTTGCTGGATACACATCAGTTTTCAGTCTCACATGATCCTTCAGAAATCATTCTAATATGCTGATTTTATGCTCAAAAAACGTCAATTATTATTTTCAATGTTGAAAACAGTCGTGTACCATTTCCCCCCGAAAATTCTATGATGAATATAAACTTCAAAAGAACAGCATTTATTTAAAATATAATCTTTTTCTAACATTATAAATGTCTTTACTGTAACTTTTGATCAATTTAACTCATCCTTGATGAATAAAAGTATTTTCTAATTTCTTTCTCCCAAAAATAGAAAATAAATTCTTATACTGACCCCAAACTTTTGAATGGTAGTGATGATTAATGTTACAAAAGATTTCCATTTCAGATCAATTCTGCTCTTTTGAACTTTCTATTCATCAAAGAATCCTGAAATAAAAATGTAAAAAACTGTGTCTCGATCATCAGATCCTCATATTAGAGTGATTTCTGGAGGGTCATGTGACACTGAAGACTGGAGTAATGATGATAAATTCAGCTTTGATCACAGGAATAAATTACACTTCACTATATATTCACATAGAAAACCATTGTTTTAAATTGTAATAATATTTCACAATATTACTGTTTTTTTGGGGGGGTTTTTTTGTATTTTTTATCAAAATAATTGCAGCCTTGGTGAGCAGAAGAGACTTCTTTTAAAAAAAGAAAATCTTAAAAAGAAAATCTTAGAAAATCTTACCGATCTAAAACTATTGACCGGCAGTTTATATATATATATATAGTCAAATTTAATATATGAAGAGTTCAGATGCAAAAGCCTCTAAGTGCCATTTGAAATTTTCTTCTTTAATGATGATTTTTATCAAGCTTGTATATTTAAGTTCAGTAATTTCACTTAAATGGCAATGAAGATTACCTATTAATTGTTATTTAAGTGAAATTACTGAACTTAAATATACAAGTTTGATAAAAATCATCATTAAAGAAGAAAATTTCAAATGGCATTTAGAGGCTTTTGCATCTGAACTCTTCATATATATATATATATATATATATATATATATTATATAAATATATAGTTTACAATTCATTAATCATAAAATATTAATTAATAGGTAATTGATCAAATAATTTAAATAACACATACTCATATATAGCAATAATTTTACAATTTTATTTGCTTTAAATACAATGTGTGTTTGGTGTGTGTGTGTATGTGTGTGTTCCTCAGGTGGGCACGGCGCGGTACATGGCTCCAGAAGTGCTGGAGTCCCGGATGGACCTGGAGAACATCGAGTCCTTCAAACAGGCGGATGTTTACTCCATGGCTCTGGTTCTGTGGGAGATCGTGTCCAGATGCAGCGCCACCGGAGGTAACAACACCCCTCAATGCTACACACACACACACACACACTGAATCTCCATAGATTCATTGTCAGTCACTCTTTAAATATAACATTCCTTTCCAATATGGTTTTGTTTTTGTTGTTTGTCAGATTTGAGTGTTTGTAAAAACTTCCCATAATGCCTTTCTTCAGTGATTTCCCCGCCCACTCTGTGCAGAGAGCTGTCAATCAAACTCGTCACATGCTGTCAGACTTTGACATGTTTCTTGTGTGTGTGTGTGTGCAGATGTGCGGGAATACGAGCCTCCGTTCGGGAAGCTGAAGGAGCATCCGTGTGTGGAGAGCATGAAGGATGATGTCATCAGAGATCGACTGAGACCCGAGATACCGGTCAGCTGGAGCAACCACACGGTAAAGCCGGAGTTTACTCCTGTCACACACACGCGTATTGAACTGGGTTTGCAGTAATCAGTGGTTCCACAAGGTGGCAGCACTGGCCCGACTGACGTTTCACAGCAGAAAACACAACTAAAGACACTGAAACAATTAATAATACACGTCTAATACAGCTTATAAACACCATATAAAGTTAACATGATCATAATTTATCAACAGTATATTTTATTTAATTCACTAACAGCCTTTTGAAGCTTAATAATCACATTAGACCATATTGTAATTCCCATGTTATGCCATGTAAACATATTTTCAAGATTTGTTATCACAACATATTTTCTTTTGTCAAATCAACTTTATAATAATTTATTTAGTTCAGATAACTTATTATTTTGAGTTTCTGATTGTTAACTTAATCTCCTTCATTGTATTAACTCACTTTTTCCAGTTCAATCAACTTAAAATTTTAAGGCAACCAAGTTACTTACTTTTTTAGGTTAAACCAACAATATTTTTTTTACAGTGTAGTAATCACAACATTTTTTCTTTTGTCAAATCAACTTAAATAATTTATTTAGTTCAGATAACATATTATTTTGAGTTTCTGATGGTTAAATTAATCTCCTTTATTGTATTAACTCACTTTTTCCAGTTCAATCAACTTAAAATTTTAAGGCAACCAGGTTACTTACATTTTTAAGTTAAACCATCAATATTTTTTACAGCGAATGTATAATAATGTGATGAAACGGAACGAAAGTGTGTGTGAGGCTCCCACTAAGGTTCTGATCATGTGTGTGTGTGTGTGTTCAGGGCGTTCATCTCCTGAGCTCCACCATCGAGGAGTGCTGGGATCACGACCCCGAGGCCCGGCTGACGGCGCAGTGTGTCGTGGAGCGTCTCAGTGACATCATCAGCTCTGACATCATCAAGAGCACAGGGGATTCTGGGAGCGACGACAAGTAGAGCAAGCGCCGGATCACGGACGTCCAGACACACACTGCACTTTACAGGAGCAGGAACATTTACACGCGTCAGGTGATTTTATTCAGCCAAACTGCAGAAACACACACTCTTCCTCGGTGTTTCGGTCTCGTTTCCCAGCGTAAACATCTAAACACTCTTATATCCTCATCCGTTTACTGGAGATTCACAATGACTGAAGATATTGAGTCTTGTTTTATGAAAACTGCATCAAAATTAATCAAGAAAATCTGCTAATGGAGTCAGAAAAATAAACTTAAGACAAAGGAAAACAACAATCTGTGGCAGATAATTGTTGTTTTAAGCACAAACTTGCTAAATTTTGTTTTATAGCAATTTAATGTCTTTGTCTTTTTGTTTCTCTTGTAAATGTATCTTGAATTACGAGTTTTCAGATATTTGTGCCGGAAAACTAGAGGTTTTTTTTAACTATTATTCAGTATCAGGAGCACGTGTATGACGTCAGTTGCTCGTTACGTATTATCATTAAGCTTCAGGGAAAATCTGCTCCGCTGACGTGAAACAGTCAAACATTGAGGAACAGGAAGTGAGGTCATGGCCGGATGTGAACAATATTCACACGCAAAGGATTCTGGGACATGTGAACTCTGCAAGAGCATCCATAAGGCTCTCTGTGAACTTACAGTATTATAAAGCCTCAAAAACCTTCATGTTCGGGATTATAAATCAGATCAAATCCAGCTGATTTAAGTGTTAATAATCCATGACACAACCAAAGAGATGAAATATGAATGTTGAGACTCTCAGGTCAAGCTGTTTATTAATGTGAAAATACAGTCTATGGACTTATACACACGTGCCTTACAGAGCAAACGCTGATGCACATCTCATTTACGTCAATGTAGATGATCAGTTAATATCTGTTAATGAGTATATGAAACATCAACAACATCCAGTTTATAAAAGCAACATTTATAAAAGAAAAAGCACTTTTTTGTAATACATATATCATTGTGTAAATGTATCTAATTGTGTAAACTCATAAAATCATTGATTGTTTGTGAATGTTATTGTGTGTTATAGATTGAATCTGATGCTTTAAATTAACATGAAACCCAATTTACTCAATTTACTTTCTGGTCATCAGTCCAAATTAGTATTCTGAAAAAAACACAAACCTCTTTTAGTTTTTACTCAAACCTTTTACTCTTTCAGCATCATGACCTGATCAGGTCTGACAACAAACTTTTTAAAAACGACTTTCTAAGACCGGGTGATCACACGCTCTCATTGAGAAACATTGACTGTATTTGCGTAGTATTGTCTGGGCTTATTTTTCACCCATGTGATGCTCATTATACTTACACTCACCTAAAGGATTATTAGGTACACCATACGAATACTGTGTTTGACCTCCTTTCGCCTTCAGAACTGCCTTAATTCTACGTGTCATTGATTCAACAAGGTGCTGAAAGCATTCTTTATATGAAGAAACAGAAAAAACAGAGACTAAGACCAGAAGAACTGTGGCAACGTTTCCAAAGACGCTTGAAAAAACCTGCAAAACTAAAAACTATGTGCAATACCTGGACAAAAACTGTTTTAAACGTAAAGGGTACTAAACACCTATTGATTTGATTTAGTTAACGGTTAAAGGGGTGATGAACTGAGAAATCAAATTTTCCTTGAGCTTTTGACATCTAAGAGGTCATCATATTATAAGGATATCCTGTAAGTTTCAGAACTGAAAACGTCCTTGTTAGTCCAATAAAAGCTTTGACATCACCAGCCTCAGCAAACAACGTTTTTAAAAGTGGGGAACTTTGAAGACAAAGAGGATAAAACCCCACCCCCGCAGAAGAAGATCAACGCCTACTTCAACACGGCCGGTTTAGCCCCGCCCACCGATTCGCGCATTTACGCGTAGCTAAATAACATAGATGCCTACCTCGTGATGACACATAGACATATACACTAGACCTCACCTTGGATACGGCAGTTCATTAGAACGAATGCGTCAATAGAGCCGCCATCTTGAAACAGGGGAGCCCCTCCACTTTAATGCATCAGCGTCAATGTAGTAGACAAGTAGACACAGGTCTAACGGAAATTAAATCATCATGAATGCGATTTTCTTGTTTTTTTGGTTTGTTCCAACGGTCAGACATGTATTTATCATTGATTCCAGAAAGAAAATTTTTTTTTTTTTAAACATTCTTCCTAGTTCAGATTTCATCCGTGAACTTCATACGCTGCACAAAAGTCCGCCACCATCAATGAATTCGAAGTAAAGGCAGAGATAGCAGCGTTACCTAGCTACTTCCTATGACAAGACCCCTGTTCCAAGATGGCGGCGGTTTTGACGCATGCTTAGAACCCCCAGGTGAGGTCTAGTGTATATTTCTATGGGGATGACAAACCGGATCAAGCTACCGAGCGATACAGAATATTGCAGCGCCTGGTTGTGGAATAAGACAGTCGCTGCATAAGCTTCCTCTGGATTCCAATAGGACTGCATGGATAAACTTTATTTATAATGACGTTCCAGCTGATGAGGTAAAACATCGTCGTCTGTTCGCTTTATTTCACTGAGGATTGTTTTGTAAACAAGACTGGATTTGCAGAACGGTGCTGTGCCGTCTATATTGGATCTGACAGGAATTGTGCAACACACGGACTCTGGGTCGAACATGTTTGGGCGAATCCGGTTGCCATTTTACAACATTGGACGTTTGTTTTCCCCCATGTGCACCGACGGGTGAGTTAAACTCATTATAATATGCAAAACTGTTCTCCACTCACAGCAGTGGGCGTTTACTTCCAAGTCTTCAGTGCGACACGCCCATAAAAACCGACAGTTTTTCAGGTAGGCTCACAACTTAGGTACAATAGCCTATTACTTATTCATTTTAATGTTTTTGAATGCAAAAACCAAGCGAACGTCATAAGTTCACCTCAGACAACAATATAATAACATTTAAAAAGCCAGTTCATGACCCCTTTAAAAGTTAATAATAAAATAAAAATAAATAAAATGAATTGATAAATAAAATGTATTTATGATTATGACATTATTTTTTGAAAACATTATCATTTACAGCATTTTTACACAAGTGCTTTTTCACAGTACTGTAGCTTTGCAGGCAGGCAGGCACTACCTTCGAGACGTTGCCGCAGTTCAGTCTGTTTTTTCACGGTAAAAAAAAGAAAACACGGAAAACACGGAAACGACATCACATTGCCAGGGACTTTATCGCGTCACATTATGTTTGGTGTTTTTGCGCAACGAATAGACGTGTGTGACATGTTTATTTTACTAATATCTATATTTAGCTGCTCTAGTGTCCGGGTTCATGCGGCCAACCGAGACCACAGGAAGAACTGGAGTTATTCACAGTCTGAAGTACAAAACCTGGTCCTTCAGTCTCCTAATAATAACACACACACACACACACACACACACATCTGCTCAAACCGCTGGAAGACCCGTAAACCAGATCACATGATTCTAGGCGGTTTGGGGAAAACAAACTAAACAAAACCCCCATTTGCTTTCTTAAAGGAGTAGTTTACTTTAAAAAAATTACTCACCCCATGTCATTCTTTCTTCAGTCGAAAAGAAATTAAATAAAAAATAATAAAGTTTAAGTTTTATAAGCACAAATGCTCGCCTTGCTCTGTTCTGTGACGCGCGTTCGTGACTCTCCTGTTCGAACTCGTTCATCAAAATGAACAAATCTTTTTTCGAGTCGGAATAAAGATTCGGAAAAAGATTCGTTCATTTTGATGAATGAGTTCGAACAGGAGAGTCACGAACAGAGCAAGGCGACCATTTGAGCTTATAAAACTTAAACTTTGTTATTTTATTTTTGAAATGAGCGATCGTTTCGCTTGATAAGACCCTTATTCATCGTCTGGAATCGCTTAAAGCCCTTTGAACAGTTTGTAGTTTGCACTGAAACTGTCTTTTGGACCTTGAACTGTTTGGTTCCCATTGAAGTCCATTATATGGAGAAAATCCTGGAATGTTTTCATCAAAAACCTTAATTTCTTTTCAACTGAAGAAAGAAAGACATGGACATCTTGGATGACATGGGGGTGAGTAAATTATCAGCAAAAGTTTTTTTTTAAAGTGAACTATTCCTTTTAATACACACTGCCGATCTCATCGTGCACGTTATTCTGAGAGAAGTCTTCACTTGGAAGTGTAATATGAGATTACTATGGGTGTAACAATATATCATGTCACAATTTTTCGCAATACAAAAATACAGCAATGTGTATTGTGGTAGTGTGTGTGTGTGTGTGTGTGAAGAAGGGGCTGAAGAACAGGTTTGGGTGTGTTCATCATTCACACCGCTACAGGAAGTGTCTTTGCTCTCACATCACTGGATGTTTGCATGCATAAGATATTGGCATATATTTCGGAGAATCCTCATCCGGTGAAGGATGTACAATGCCGAGGTTTGCTGTTATTATCGCCACACGCGGCGCTCACAGTGCTGGAGGATGATGATGGCGGGAATCAAAGCTGAAGGAAGTGATGTCACTGAGGGCAGGACTTGCAGGAATTTGAAACTAAGAATAATATTAAATTGAATTACAGTTATGTTGTCAAATTTTCCTGTAGAATTTTCAGTTTTTTAGCTTTTAGTATTATTTAATGGTCCTAAAATCAGCATCCATCTTGTTTATCCAAAATATGTATTATAGGTGAAATATGATCCAGACGTGTTACACATCTGAGATTCATCATCACATTAACAGTGATATAGGCTCATGCACCAATGTTTTTAATACTTACTTATGGACTTTTAATACTAAATGATGATGCATATAAAGATATTTAAACAGATCTTTGGCATGACTGTAGATCTTCCATGTGAGATATAGAAGAAGCAAAAGAAAATCAGCCTGTTTGTGCGCGTTGGAGCGTTTGGACCCATAGCGAGTGCTGATGATGATGATGATGATGATGATCCGCCATTGGTCAGCGGGCATTCTCTCTTGCCGGCGTGCGTGAGG